AATATTTTTCCGATGTGTTTTGGATATTCCTTCTCTAATAAAAAGAGATACCATTTTGTTTTCGTTTGCATAAGAAAGAATATCAAGCATTTTTCTTTTTTAAATTTAATTAGCCACAATAAAGAAGGAACGTTGCAATGCTACGTGCTACATTAACGACGTCTCTAGAGTAACTGAATGACTATTCATATAGAAATCGCAGGTGTTAGTCTCATACAACAACGCCCCCTATAGTTCCTTGCGATCGCGAATAATATGTGAGATTAACAAATTAATAATTGCAGTAAAATTTCAGCACATGTATTAAACTAGCCATAACAAATATGCATACGAATACTGGCGATTTAACAGATTGAAAAAGTCGCCACGATGATTGAAAAGGTAACCCATTTCTCGTTGTCACTAAAAAGATAGGACCTTCACTTCCTCTTGTGGGTTGGAAATCATGAACCATCAAATGGCGTTTTTTTTTTTTACTTAACTAAATAAGAGCTAGGAGTAGAGCGTTCACTCAAATCTTTAAAGGTTACAAGCTTGCTACATGTTACTATTTGTGCTTCTGTATTTGTTCTATCAGCTTTCAAGCCAAATAGTTTTCCGCTATCTGAAGTCGTATTCCCAAATTTTGCTAAATTTATTGGTTTATTTTTATTATTATGTGTAAAATTTACATCATACTATATTGATAATAATTTATTTTATCTGACAATCTGCTTGTTTAACTACAAATCAATTTAAATGTTTTACGCATCTGTGTATTGACATCAGGAATATCAATCGTTTTGATATCAATCGTTTGATCCATTGCTATATATTGATCTTTTCCGCGAATTAAATTTATCAAAATCTGTGAAAGTTTATTTTAAAAATGCAAGCCATAATATTTTCATTTATGTGAATTTTAAAGTATGTTTGGACAAAAATATTTTATGTTGTCAATATAATTTTATTTATTAACTGTTGGTTCTCTATTTAATGCCCTGAAATCTGTATTGTGCTGCAAATTTAGAACTAAGCCTGCATAACTTACTCTCTATATACGTCTATCTTCTTCGTTCAATCTATGCTTACATTTAAAAAATGCTTAAATTTATGCTTAAGTTTTAAAAGCAATTTAATGCATTATTTTACTTAGATAATGTTAATACTTTTGAGGATGCACAAAATTTAATATATATTGTTTAGACTTAGTGGTTGGGCAGCTCCAAAGAGATGCTACATCAACCAGTGGTCTATTGTACCCGAATAAATATATTTTGCTAGACATTCTAGTTAAGAATGAGATGTTCTTTGATGGACTGAGAGTTCCTCAAGGGGTTTACCGTTGTGGTAAATACGGGTGTCACATTCCCGAGGTACCCTTGTGATTATTTATATATTTTACATTTAATATCTTTCTTGTGAAGCATAAAATACTTGATTGAATGAAATTACTATATCATCAGTATAACTTACTAGATCTGTTATCTATATTTTGCTATTTGAATATCTTCCATGTAACTGAATGATTCTTATATCCTAGAATAACGTAAAATCTAGTTTTTGAGGTGAGAGTCAAAATTATGTTAATTTGGCGTTAAGCGTCTGTTATATATAATAGGGATGTAACGAATACTTGGCCGCTGTTCAGTATTCGGCCTAGCCGAATACTGAAGTTATTCGTATGAATATGAATATTATTAGATATTTGGCTGAATAAATTCATAATAATATTTTTTTTTAAATGTGCTTTTAAATCATGAATATTGCAGAGTTACATTTCACTGCAGTAACTATTAGAAAATGAAAATCTAACATTTACTCAATTTAAGTTGTGTAATACATAAGTGAATTTAATAATGTTACATAAATAAAAACGTTTTCTTGTTGCAAATTTATCATCATGTGTATTTAAACAAGCATTGGAATCTTTTACATTAAAATACAAATATATATAGTTTGTTAAATAGAAGTTTGAATGGGTGATTCTAAAAATAATATTTATTTCAAAAAATAAAATCTTACAAAAAGATTTGCAGTAAAATTTCTGAAAAAAATAGGAGTTATTAATATAGTATAATGTATACTTTACCTGTAGTCAGCAGAGCTAAATATTTAAATGCTCATTCAAAAAAAAAAAAAGTATTTCATGAACCATGCTAATGACGAAATAAATCTATTTAGATATTTTAAGAAATTACAATAAAAATGCTATTTATTGAATAATTTTTAATTTTTGCAAAATTTCCAAGCGGAAATAAGCAGCATGAGAACCCATTGGTATTGGTGGCAATATACATCTTAAAATGTCACATAATGGATAAATATGCTTGTCTTCGGGCACAGGCCACTTGTAAACATTTGTTGCTTGTAAGGCCACTGGATGCATCACTAATACTTCTACTTGATTTTCCATAATGTTTGTAATTTCCCCAGGATAAACAATATTGTCGTAATTCACAGCAACCCAATTCCCTTTCTGATATGTTGACAGTGATTCTGAAGGAAACAATATATGAAATTTGTAAATAAGAAGTGCACAAAATATGAAATAGTAGTATCAAATATTTATTTTTCAAATACAACATTGCAGTAATTAAATAGTGGGTACCTGTTGAGTTTATTTCGGTCGACAAAGCTCCAATGTGATAATGTTTGCATTTAGCTGCTATATTTCTTTATTATGCGTTCAGCAATCATTTTACTAAAGAGTTGTTTGTCTTTTTGCTTTCTTAAGCTCTTGTACCGCTCAGATAATTCACAACTCAGGGTCTCACAAAAAAAGTAGCTTTTTCCTTATATGTTTGGGGACTGTTCTACCTCTTAAAAAGACTTCAAGCTTACTTTTTGGTGTGTAATTTTTTGCTGGTTTATATTTTTCCAGTAGTCGAGAATATTTTTTTCTGTATTTATCAGCCTTCTGTTTCAGCAATATGTTTTCTTTCTCAACTTTTTTTATCTTCCTGTAAGCAGAAGCCCTGTCTTTATGAACAATTCTGCGACCTTTTTTCTTTGGGCTACTTATTGACATAGCACTATCATTTGTTATGCTTTCAATATCCGAGAATTCATCATTATTATTAATTGAGGTTGATGGACTTTCATACATCTGCTTTACTTCTTCCAACTTTTTTCTACTTCTACATGATTTTTGGTTATGTCTCCAAGTATTTCTCTGTGCTCTAAGTTCCCTTGCAGTCATATCTTTAACCATTTTTATCCGATCTGATTCTTTTGCTTTTATATACATATTATGTTTAAGATCTTTAAGTTTTTGCTACTTATCAACATCTTCTTTAATTTTTTCTCTTCTTCTTTTTTCATACTCTCTTTTTCTTTTAAGTTTTTCTTCTCTACTCATTGCCTTACTTTTCCCCATATTCTCATTAAATCTAAATAAAGAACAAGGCCGAAAATTAAAATTCTGTATACACAAAACTGTGTTCTTTTAAAATATTCAATAAGAAATTTAGCATTGTTTACTCAAGAGCAAACCTTGTTTACCTAAAATATTTTCTGGCATTAACAATATGAGAAACTTAATCATTTTCTGACAGATTTAATGCACATTTTAGAGATGGTAAATGTAATAATGTTATATATATATATATATATGTATATATTATGAAGCTAAAACTAAATTAATTGTTGTACTATAGGGTCAGGTGGGGGAAAGTGGTGGTAAAATCAGGCACTTTTGAAACAAAGCTTAAAATTAAAGATATTAAAGTTTTTGTCTAAAATATTTTTATTGAAAATACTTACATTTGAACATTTTAGAATAAAATTATTGCAGTATTTTTATTTTTAACTTTGTGATATGTTTACAGTAATATATTTAATTAGGCTAGTATATACACCACCACTTTCCCCCATGGTGGGGGAAAGTGGTGGTAGAGCTAAAAAATGACAAATTCAAGTAATAAATTAATTGTTATTACTCTGTATGAAATAATATACTTATTTTACTTATTATTGAATATATTTATTAAAAAAGTGTGCATAATTCAACAAAAAAAATAATGTCCTCGATTGTCAAAGTTTGGTTCGTTCAGTTGACGACAAATGCTGCTGTGTTCGACATAATTGTCATCATCAATTTCAGGGAATGTGTAATAATGACCTATTTTAGATTTAGTAAGATATTTTACATGGTCATCAATATCAATGACTTGACCTATGAATTTCGAATTTTGGCGTTTGCATTTATACTCAACTTCTACCCATGAACCTTGCTTTATTTCTTTCATGTCTAGAGGCTTTTCTTTTTCATTAATCTTCATTTTATCAATAGGTTTTTTTAGTACCTTTCGTTTTTCAGATTTAAATTTACGATCTGATTCTTCTGCAGCCAGTCTTTCTAAAACTGATTCAGTTGTCAAAACTTCACCACACTTATTTTGAACTCTTTTCCTTTTTCTTGTTGAGTTTGCCATTGCTAGAATAGTATTTGCTGATGGAGGGGGTGAAAGTGTATGCAATATAGCTTTTTTCAAATCTTTTAGGGGCGAGTTAAGGAAATATTCACTTTCTTGTGCATTTTCTTTACTGCTTACTGGGATTTGTACTGGGTCATTTTTTTCAGTGATCATGATACGGTGACTAATTGCATTCTTATTTAAAGGATACAAGCCAGTTCCTTTAAAACCACTTACTGCATTTTGCGGCTTCATCTTCTCAAACATTTTCTTCATCAAAAATGGAAAGGACGCTTTGGCAACATTTTGTAGTCTGCTTTCCCGATACCTGTTCTTAAGGATGTCTCTCCACACTTTTTTCATTGGTGAAAATACATTGACGTCAAGTGGTTGCAGAGCATGACTACAGTTTGGTGGAAGGCAGAAAATAATAATTTCATTATCCATAGCGAGCTTTGCAGTGTTATATGTTAAATGGCTCCCATGGCCATCATATGTGAGGAGCACAGGTTTCTTCATTTTTTTAACATAATTTACAAAGAATGCCATCCATGATTCGAATAAGGAATCTTGCATCCAGCCTGATTCGCTGACTCCATACAAGGTTCCAGGAGGCCCACCAACTGTCCAAGATTCATAAAGATGTTGACCTTTGTACACAACAAATGGTGGGCAGTATACTCCTGTTGCAGAAACACAAAATAGAACTGTGTATGTTGCTTTTCCACAATCAGCAGATTTTAAATATGCTGTGCGTTGTTTTTTTTTCAAAAATACTTTGAATGACCTGGAATCAGTTGACAAACCTGCTTCATCCAGATTAAAAATTCGATCAGGCTCATTTATCAAATCGTTTTCTATCAGTAATTTTTCATACAGATTTAAAAAAAATCCTGTTGTTTCTTCATTCAAATCTGATGCTCTAGACTTTGTCAAAATCTCTGCTTTTCTTTTACCAAGCTCCTGTTTCCATCTTTTTTCAAACCCTCGAACCCATTCAATACCAGGCTTTCCATTTGGAAATAGCTTTTGAGCATTTTTGTTTTCAGTTAAGTAACTTTTAACTAAATTTAAAACATCCCTTCTGTCGAAAGGAAAACCACACTTGCCCAAAAATTGCAAAGCTACAACTATGCATTTTTCTTCTTCAGTAGTCAAGAAAGATTTCCTTCCTGGTCCTGCATGCGAGGGTTTTTTAATCACCCATCTTCTTACAGTTTGCTCTGGAACACAGTGTTTTTTTGCAGCAGCATACACTGAAGATCCTTTTTCAACCTCTAGCAAAGCATTTTGCAGGTCATCTTGAGTGTACTTTGGACCATCAGTTTTTTTCACATAATGCCTAGGCATT